ATAAATGAATATATATACGCGTTAGAATTGTCTATATATAGGAAACATGTCACATTTTTATACTTCATACAGTGTTAAAATAGATCTAATAAGTAAAATACATATAATATATGTGATAACTCAAAATATTAATTAGTATTAATGCTGTATTTCTAAGAAGAGACAAAACTAAAAACATTCAAAGTCTCAGCAATATTAGGAGTGCATATATTTAGAATTGATGATACACGCTTTTAACTTATCATTTTTATTTAAATAATAGATATTTGATTTTCCGTAATTGACGATACAAACAACATAGTTACATTTAATAAAATATCTAATAAATATATTCAAAATATTAAATAATCCTTTTATAAATTTTATCTTTATATGTATTTGTTTTTGAATGTTATTAATTTAACAAGATATAAGTATATATTTTTTTATCATTATACTATTGCTATAGAAATGAGTGTAATATGTAATGATAAAAATGAATATGACGATTTTATAAAAATATTGCTAATTTTTTCTTCCAATAGAGATTAAATTATTTATTTTTACATTCTGAATATTATTTCTTTATTTAGATAAATTTTATCATGTATTATTATAGCTAATCACAATGATGAAAATTAAAGAAGGAGATAGTTCACGATTTTTAAAAATCATACCTTATAGAGCACTATCATTACAAGAATAAGTTACATGTTTAAGAAAGTATTAACTTTTTCTGTGTGAAATGTTATTTTTTTATATATATATATATAAATATATTTCTTGCTGATATTCGTTTACGAAGGGTCATTACATGTTTTACATGAAATATCCATTATATTATGCAATTAAACATGTTCAAATGTAAATACAACAATAATCATATAATTATATTTTCCTCTTTATTCTATACCTATATATAAAGAAACAAAAGGAATGTTAATATAAAAAAAAAAATGCATTACTTTGTGTTATATAGGTACGTCCCCTTAAAGAACTGCTTTACATTTGTACATTAGTAAATATATCTCTTTCTCATATAAACCTTGAATATTTCTGAAATTATAAAATTAAATATTAAATATTTATAATATTTTTAATTAATACATATTTAAGAACAAGGTCCTTCAGTTTATGATTCATATAATTGAAGGAATATATGCATAAATAACACTAAAATAAATATATATATAGAATTATTAAAGGAAAATTATTGTTAATGATAAATATTAAAGAATTGCCCTCTCTAAAATATTGAAAAGTTTTTTAGGACGTTATATTCTTAAATTATTATATTCTTATATAACTAAATTGAAGTATATTATAAAATACACAGAGTTATGAGAGATAATAAAAAAACTATAATAAAAAAAATTATATTTATTGTCATAAAAGACAAGAATTCATAATAAGGTTTCGGAAAAATATAAAATAAATAATTAGATTGATAACACTATTCTATTAAAATATATGTATATTTTTTATTTCTTGAATTCTATGGTATAATATATTATAAACAGTTTTTCATGAGTTATTCAACGCATTTAGTTATAAATAATATATAATTCTCATAAATTTTTACTCCATAATAAATTGTATTAAATTATAACCTAATATTACAGTTATATATATTTTTATATTTGTATTTATATGAATATTTTTTTTTAAACATATGTTAGTTTTACTTTAAAATTCTCTTAATAAATTTTTTGTTATTTATATATTATTTTATGCTATATATTTGAATAAACGTATATTACATCACTTATAATAGATTAAAAGAATAATTATAATATATCGAAAATAATGCAGTTTTTTAATAATGTTAATTTTCTTGTTTAAACCTATATAACATACATAAATACATTTTGGTTTATTCATTTTTTGATTAACTTAATACATTCTAAAATTTACAGAATTTTATATCAATTGTAAGGTGAATTGCGTTTAAATTTATAAATATCATGTAATGTTTTTATTTTTCTATCCTTAATTTCTGATGTTTTATGTATAAAAGGAGCGTAATTTAATAATATTAAAAGATAATTACATAATTTCTTGAATATATAATATCTTTTGACGTAATTATAAAGTATAAACTCTTGTTATTATTAAATTATATACATCATATATTCACTCATTAAAATCCTTATTAGTAAAATTATTATGCTATATGTATTTATTTATAGTGCCCTTAATATGTAATGTATTTAAGATAATATCATTCTGTTATAATAAAATAAATGTACATCTTCAAAAGATAATATATTTTAATTATAATTTTATACATAATGTAAATAGAATAATACTTTATATTAGTTATTTTAGTTTAATACATGATTTTTTTATTTTTTTTATTCATTATATAGTATCATTTATAAGAAAAATTACATTAATCATTATGTTCAATATGCATAATGTAAAATATATATTTTTTAATATATTATGCTTATATAGAATATTAGATAAATAACAGCATAAAAATTAGGAAAAAAAAAAAACATTTATAAAACATCGATGTAATTCATCTTATAAAATTAAAAGTGCTTTTATTTAAAGATGTATGAAAATATCATTAAAATAATATATTTCACAAATAATAAAAGATTTTTTTACGCTTATTATACATGAAAATTTTTTATTACAAATTGAAATTTCTAATTTAAGTGAAATTTTATTTTCTGAATTTTATTTCATATATTTTTTACTACTGATTTATTTTATACGTGAAAATACAATTTTTAGAATAGCAAACAATATGTTATACTATAAAACATATGATTTTATTTTGAAAAATACAAAAACAATATATTATATAATATAAATAATAATTATCAAAATGTATTTTCATGAATATTTTTAATTAATGCATAATATTTATTTTAAAAATGATTTATTTCCTCCATATATTACATACAAGTAGCTAATTTCTTATGTTGTATTATTTATTTTAAATTGTAGTTCTTTAGACATATTACAAGTATATAATTATATATTAAAAAAACAACTTGAAAAATTATATTAATATTTTGTGTTTTACTGAAGTAAATTCAAATGTTATATGTTTATACATATATATATATATTCTAAATTAATAAAAACATTTAATGACTTATGGTATTGTAAAAATCATTATTTATAATGATGAATTTTTTAAAATATTTTTTCCTTATTATTTAATCTTTTTTATAGAAGAAAATAAATATAAGGAAATTATAATGCAGGAATTTAATCTGGTTCATATAAATGATATAAATTATATATATACAATTATCTAATAAGGAATAAATAAAGTCTTTTTCTTATTGTTTTTTCATTTAATAACTTTACATACATTTATAATTTAAAATATAAAAGATCGTTTTTTATTTTTTTATTAAATATGATTATATAGTCAGAAAATAATAAAATAAATAAATGTTTCATAATGGGCGAAAAAATACATATATAGAAAAAAAGTATTGAATATTATAATAATAATACATATATAATACAATTTGTTATCTATTATTATGTTTTATTCATGTGCTACCGGAAAAAGAGATATATATAGAAGTTTAATATCTTAAAAATTTATATGAGGTACTAAAATATATAACGACAAATATTATACATATTTATGCATTCACCACAGGAATCAATGATCAAAAGTAGAAATAAATATAATGTAAAATTAATACATATTATTTATATAACCTTTTTCTATCCATACTATTGAATTTAATTATATTTTCTCTGGGGGTACAAGTATACTATTATGTATGTTATTATCATTTAAAAAATTATATATAAAAGTTATATTATAGTATTAAAATTTTAATTCTTAATTCACAAAAACATAATTCATTGTTGTATCAAATTGTGCGAATGCAAAAAAATCCCGTATATATATATATATATTGAGTAAATTTATTTTTCTTGTATATTCATCATAAAGAAACATCTTTATATTAAGACGAGCGATTAGGTATAAATATAATATATACTTCAAAATGTTATAACTATATGGTACATAAAAATTGTAAAATGGATAATTATTTCAAATATATTCGGTAAGGGTTATATGTATTAATATTTATATCCTAATAATATTGTTATATAAATATTTATGCAATAAACATATATAATACAAAAAATAATTGAAATTTAATAAATATTTTTTCTAATTATATTTATATAATTTGAATATCTATAATCATACGTTTTTATTAATGAACATAATAATATAGTGCAACTATAATTGTTATTTAATGCATTTGTAACATTTTGTGATAAATATAATATGTTTGGCTTGTTCTAATTATACAGTGTATATTTTTGATTTCTTGCTGCTAATATATTCTTTATATTTCATTCATAAACAGTTATATAAATATAGTAATAGTATTTTCTCCTTGTTTTTCGTACTATTTAAATAGATATATTTATATTAGACTACAATTTAAATAGAATCTATTATGTTTGGATAGTATATATTGAACTCATGGTGTAGGTAATTTTTTCAAAATATAATTATTCAATTATAATGATTCTCAGTATTTATTTGTCATATTTTTGCTGTTTTATTATATATGGAATACATATTTTATATTTTACAGAATTTATTTTATTTCGAAATAAAAACATAATGAATATTAGTTCCTGTTTAGATTTAATGAATATTTATTACATTTCTCAAGTTGTCTTTTATGAATATTCTTGCCGTTATAAACGTAAATAAATTTATTTTTAGCCAATAAATATTAATATATAATTATTTTCAATGCATAATTTTAGAATGTTAATTTCTTTTATTCGTTGATTACAATAATTATTGTTGCGAGCTGAAAATTTTTTAATATTGATGTTTCATCGATTACTCTATATTACAAGGGCAATACACATGCATTAATAATCATATTATTATTTTAATATATATTAATTTTTATACCCCTTTTTTTTCAAAAGTTATAAAATTTTTTATTTTTTTTTATTCTTTAAGAAGAACAAAATTTGTTTCAATATATACTATAATATATTTATTAGGAGTAATCTACTGAATTATAGGCTATTCTATACCTCTCATCAATTGAATTTTCGTGTCTCTTTTCAAATGAATCCATTAAATTTAAATGCTCTTTATTTTTTTTGTTCAATCTTCTCTTAAAATTATTTATCCATGTTAGTAAATAAGATCCATATGGTGTGTACTGATAATAAAGAGACGATATGGTATTTTCATCACTTTATATTTAACATGATATAACTACTTATATAATCATATGTTATACAAAATATAACATAATAAATATTTACCAAATTTTATTTTTAACTTTATATAATATAAATATAGCTGTTAATATTACAGATATTAAGGAAAATGTGCCTATATATACTCTTGTAATTTTTTCTGTCATTGTATCTTTAGCTGATTCTTTCATTGGAAAGTTAGTTGTTTCTTCATTAGATAATACAATTGATTTTGTTTCTGGTGTATTTTTTGTACTTTCCATTGTTCTATTGTTGGTTACTTCACTTGTTTGTGTTACCATCGAAGAAGAATCCCAAGGTATTTTTTCCTTAGGGCATTTTTCTTCATATAAATCTTTAATACTTTTAAGGATTAATTTAAAACTAATCTTATTGCTATATTGACATGATTTTAATGAGTTCATATATTGTTCATATTTCTCATTAGATGAAGTGCAATCATTATGTTTTATGTTTAATTCTTCTATAATATTATATGCATTTTCTAAATCTTTCAAAATTTTTAATGAGTGATCATCAGGATAATCATCAAA